GGGCACAGAACTTGAGCACAGATTTCTTCTGACTCCATATCCAATATTCTTTTGATTACATCATATTGTCTCTTTTAAAATTCCTCTGAAGTCCCTTCCAAAACTGAGAGTTTTTGGTTTTGTGATTTTTTTTTTAAACACAGTTTGGAAGAAGTTGAAGAATGAATGGATGGTAGGTGAGAGAGAACAGACAGTGAATAGAAAGTACTTTTTTCCAAAAAAAAAAAGAAAAAAAGGAGAGGAGGGTAAGGATGAAAAGAAAGTGATGAAATGATAGCTCTCATCATAGAAGAAAAAGTAGATGGCAAAAAGCACTCAGAGCAGCTCACAAATAGATTTAAAAAAAATACATAAAGCAATCATAGTGGCCCATGAGGAAGCTACTAGAAGAAAATCCCTCTCTAGTGGGTCTTATTTTTCCACCTAAAGTCTTTCTGGCTCAGTGCCATCCTTTAAGGTCCCCTCAGAAGGGAACTGATATCAAATTTGTCACGTGGACAGCACCTTGAGGTCCATGTGTATCCCTAACTCTCCCATAGGATCCTACAGACACCCTCTCAGAGTTAATTCCACACTGTGGTTTGGGCTTCCCCATTGAAAGCAAAAATACTCTGTGGCAACTGGACAGTAATACTCTTCTTATTGGTCTCATAATGTCCAAATCACTCAAAATAATAGTTGTGATCAACAAGGTTCAGATCCCTTTCTTTTCCATTGCATGGCTTCTTAAATGCAAGATGGGGAAATATATACAGATGGTAAGCCATCTAAAAAAGAATGGGAGGCATTAGTGGACTGAAAAATACATATTAGTCAGCAATTTGGCAAGGTAGCTAAAAATGATAACAAAATCTTGGGCTGCATTAAGAGAAATATGGTATAACTTACCAGGCTACTCTGCTCCAGGCAGGGTATATCTGGAGTATTGTCTTCAAGTATGAGTGCTTTACATTAAGGAAGACTTGATAAGTTGGAATATAAGGAAAAGTTTCCAGAGCTATGTAAGTGCAAGACTGTTCCTACAGTGATCCCAGATCTTCTGAAGAGGCATCTCATTCAGTAAAGCATAAAGAGAATTTCCTCAACTCAAAGTATTCTTTCTACATGCAACTATTCCAAGAGCACTTTGCCTAAATCTCTGCATATTTTCAACAAACATTTTAAGTAACTACGTGATAAGGAAGGAGATACAAAGATAAAACACGGAACATTGATTTTCACCAATGAATGTATGGAGAGCTTGGGGTAGGGGTGGGAGGGTGATGTAAACACAAGGAAGGAATAGCATTCATTTATATAGCATTTTAAGTTTTACAAAGCAATTTTCATACATTACCACACTTGACCTTCACAACAACTCTATTAAGTGTGTATTCTTATTATCCCCGTTCTACAGATTAAAAAATAAAATACAATAGACTGAGACAGGTAAAATGACTCACCAGGACCACAAAGCTAGTAAATAGGTACTGTACTAGATAGAGAATGAAGTATGGAGAAATAGGGGTGGGAAGAGACAGAGAGAGACAGAGAGATAGGAAAAGTTCTTATTAGATATATAATGTAAAAAGTAAAGTTTTAAAGATGGTGGAGTAAAGGCAGGAATTCACCTGAGCTCTCCCCCAAATCTCTACAAATACTTTTTAAAATGACTCTAAACAAATTCCAGAGCAGATGGAGTGGAGTGAAACAAATTTCCACCCAAGACCACTTGGAAGGTTAGCAGGAAAGGTCTGTTGCACCAGGGTGAGAGAGCAGTGCAGTCCAGCACAGGCCGCACCAGCACAGACCAGGCCCCAGAAAACCCAGAAAAGGAGTCAGGGTGACTGAATCACTGGCAGCAATGGCAGTTTCCAGATCTCTCAGCCCACAGACACCAAAGAAAACTGAGAAGGTTAGCAGGAAAGGTCTGTCATACCTGGGTAAGAGTAGAGCTCAGTTCAGCACAGGCTGTGCCAGCACAGTCCCAGCCACAGCAAACCAGGAACAGGCCATGGGAGTGATTGAATCAGCCTCAACAACAGCAGTGGCAGTTTCTGGAGCTCTCAGCCCACATATAGTAAGGGAGGGGTCGAACAGCTGGTCAGAAGGAAATTACAGAGGTCTTTTTGCTGGCACTGAAGCAGGACTCTGTTACTTTACCTGTACTCAGATCTGGAACCCAGTCCTAGGTGGCAGTCCCAGGGAGAGGAGGAGCACTAGAATAGAAGAGCTAGTGGAAACAATGGAGAGGGAACCCTCCTCACAGTTCCAGGGCAAAAAAAGAGTGCTTGTGGTCACTCACAGGTTTGAGCACAGGCCAGGAGAATGGCAAACACCTCTCCTTAGGTCATAACAGCTTGGAAGAACTAAAAACTTACAGGTACCTAGAAGAATTTCTGAAAACAGCCGCACAAAACCGCTGATGCTTGGGACCATGCACCAACCACCCTGGAAGCAGAGCCCTACTTTAACAAACAGTTCAAAGTCAAGTAATAGGCTGGGAAAATGAGCAAACAATGGGGAAAAAAAACTCTGACTATAGAAAATTACGATGGTGATAAGGAAGATCAAAATACATATTCAGAAGAAGTCAACAAAGTCAAAGCTTCTACATCCAAAGCCTCCAATAAAAATACGAATTAGTCTCAGGCCATGAAAAAGCTCAAAAAGAATTTTGAAAATCAAGTAAAAGAGGTAAAGGAAAAATTGGGAAGAGAAATGAGAGTGATGCAAGAAATCATGAGAAATGAATCAAAAGCTTGGTAAAGGAGACATTCACACACAGAAAAAAAAAATACTGAAGAAAATAATACCTTAAAAAACAGATGAGGCCAAATGGTAAAAAGAGGACCAAAAATCCAATGAGAAGAATGCCTTAAAAAGCAGAATTGGCCAAATGGAAAAGGAAATCCAAAAGCTCACTGGTGAAAATTATTCCTTAAAAATTAGAATGGAGCAAAAGGAAGCTAATGACTGTATGAGAAATCAAGAAACAATAAAATAAAACCAAAAGAATGAAAAAATAGAAGATAATTTGAAATATTGCATTAGAAGAACAACTGACCTGGAAAATAGATCCAGGAAAGAATTTAAAAATTATTGGACTATCTGAAAACCATGATAAAAAAAGAGCCTAGACATCATCTTTCAAGAAATTATCAAGGAAAATTGCCCTGATATTCTGGAACCATAGGGTAAAATAGACATTGAAAGAATCCACCAATCACCTCATGAAAAAGATTCCAAAAGGAAAACTCCCAACAATATTATAGCCACATTATTACAAGCAGCTAGAAAGAAACAATTCAAGTATCATGTAGCCACAGACAGGATAACACAAGATTTAGCAGCTTCTACATTAAGGGATTGGAGGTCCTGGAATATGATATTCTGGAGGGCAAAGGAGCTAGGATTACAATCAAGAATCACCTACCCACTGCAGCTAGGTGGTGCAGGGGATAGAGCACCGGCCCTGGCGTCAGGAGGACCTAAGTTCAAATCCGGCCTCAGACACTTGACACTTACCAGCTGTGTGACCTTGGGCAAGTCACTTAACCCCATTGCCTACCCAAAAAAAAAAATAATAATTTACCCAGCAAAATTGAGTGTAATCCTTCAGGGGAGAAAATGGATATTCAATGAGATAGAAGACTTTCAAACATTCTTGACGAAAAGATCAGAGCTGAATAAAAAATTTGACTTTCAAATACAAGACTCAAGAGAAGCATAAAAAGGTAAACAGAAAAGGGAAATCATAAGAGACTTAACAAAGTTAAATTGTTTATATTCCTACATGAGAATATAATATTTGTAACTCACAAGACCTTTCTCATTATTAGGATAATTAAAAAGAGTATATATAGACAAAGGGCACAGATGTGAGTTGAATATGAAGGGATGATATCTAAAAAAATAATATTAAGGGTGAGAGAGGAATGTACTGGAAGAAAAAGAAAGGGAGAGGTAGAATGGGGCAAATTATCTCACATAAAAGAGGCAAGATAAAACTTTTACAGTGGAGGAGAAGAGGGGAGAAGTGAGGGGAGTGAGTGGACCTTACTCTTATCAGAATTGGCTTGAAGAGGGAATAATATACACACTTAATTGAGTATAGAAATCTATCCCTACCCTACAGGAAAGTAGGAAGGGATGGGGATAAGAGAAGAGGTAGGGGGTGATAGAAGGGAGGTCAGATTGGGGGAGGGGTAGTCAGAAACAAAACACTTCTGAGGAAGGAGAGGGTGAAAGGAGAGAAAGAATACAATAAATAGGGGGGCAAGGAAATAGAATGTAGGGAAATACAGTTAGCAATAGTAACTGTGAAAAAAATTTTGAAGCAAGTTGCTCTGACAAAGGCCTCATTTCTCAAACATACAGAAAACTAAGTCAAATTTATAAAAATAAGAGCTATTCCCTGATGGATAAATCATCAAAGATATGATAAGCTTTCAGATGAAGTAATCAACGCTATCTATAACTATATGAAAAACTATATGAAAAAATATTCTGACTCACTATTGATTGGAGAAATGCAAATTAAAACAATTCTGGGGTACTACCTCATATGTATTAGATTGACCCATAGGACTGAAAAGGAAAATGAAAAATGGTGGAGGAAATGTGAGGAAAATGAGACATTAATGCACTGTTGGTGGAGTTGTGAACTGATTCAACCATTCTGTAGAGCAATTTGAAACTATGCCCAAAGGGTTATAAAACCGTGCAGACCCTTTGAGCTAGCAATACCACTACTAGGTCTGCATCCCAAAAGAGATTAAGAAAAAAAGATTATGATAATAAGAAGACTTTTATTCAAATAGTACTCCTAGACCTTATGTACTTCAGATAATTGCTATTCAAATTAAGCAGGTTTGATATAAGGAACTCTTCATTCTTTATAGACAATTAACAAATATCTACCTCTCATAAAAACCTAACAACAAATGTCTCCAGGCAGATTTTGAGCTCCATTTGGGATGGGGACCATATCTTATGCTATTTTTGTATCTCAGGTATAAGCATATTTTAAGTGCTCAAGCGACTGTCAAGAACAACGTAGCACAGTGCATAGAGTGTTAGCCTTTGAATCCGGAAGGCCTACATCAATATGAATTTTCTCGATTACTCTGCGACCTTGGGTAAGTTAATTAATCTCATGGAGCCTCAGTTACCTCCTCTGAGTAAGAGATTTCAGAGATTTGTATAAGGTCCCCTAGGTCTAAATTTTCGAACCTATGAAAATTTATTGAGTAGTCATAGGATTTTTGATAATATGGGGACATTAAAATATCACATTACATAGAAATTTTTCAAAGCAAAGTCTTCAAAAAAAGTTTATATTAGACACATAGCAAATGTTCAATAATTAACTGATAACTAATGGACACTCTTTCTCTCTAGATAGAGAGATATGGATATAGATATTTAGGTCTAGATTGATAATTAATGGACTCCTATATTCCAAGCCTAGAGCTAAATAATTATTTCAATCAATATAAATTAATGATGATATTATAATATCCTTACAAAGATATGGATAATAACTTGGCTATAGTGTGAAGAGAATTTGTTCTAGAGTCAGAAGATCCCAGTTCAAATTCTATCTCCAATTAACTAGCTGTGTGAGCTTTAACAAGTCATTTGACCAATCTGAGGCTCAGTTTCCTCATCTGTAAAATAAGAATAATAATTACTGATGTCATATCCTTGATAATCATATTGTCAAGATAAAATGAATAATTATTTGTTAAATCCAATCATCATAATCTAGAAATGATGGTTATAGTAGCTAGAAAGCAAGTAGTCAGGAAGATGAGGCCTGGCTTTGACACATACTGACTGTGTGACCTTGAGCAAGTCACTCTTAGAACGTTAGACAATTTTCTAAGTTGTAACACAGATGCTGAACTTCATAGATAGAGTTCTTCACAGGGAACCCATTATACCAGAAAAAGAAAAAAATCATAGGTCTGGTCAAAAGTAATAATAATAAAAATTTAACTTGAATGCAAGCTCACTGAGTATAGGTACTGTGACCAATTTAAATTTGTTGTAACTGTACTTTCTGGTGTTATTTCAAGGACAGTCAGTGACCATGATTTATGATTTTTAAAAAATTTCCATCAAATCAATCAATAAATAAATCAAAAAACATTTTGAGTTCCTCTCATGTATCATTTTTAAAAGCTATTTATCAACTGCTATTTTTATTAGCTTTTATAATTCAATTATTTTTTAAATGTTTCTATAGTATGAAGAACTCTGCCCAGGAGTATCAAATATATCTATCCAGAATGGACCCATGAATCCAGAGCACAGAACAGAAGGAAATAAATGAGTATCAAGCACAAATCAAACCTGACATCTCCTCACCCCCCCACCATTCCCCCAAAATGAAGAGGTCAAATTCTTTGCTGTACACATGGTAAGAGAATTATTAAAATTGTTAATATATCAATGACTTGAACATAACAATCTTCCCTAGGATGTCGAATAGTTATTTGAATGGAACTTTGGGTGCATTAAATAGTAAAGAAGTACTTTGAAAGAACATACTTTGGGTTACGTGACATCATTAACTTTCTGAAATGTGCAGAGCAGAACACAATAAAAATCTAAAATTATTTTGGGATGAACTTTCTACTGGTAATAAGTAGCCTTTTTATGATGGAGAAAAAATGCTTTGAAACATGCAACTTTCAGATTTACATAATTGATAAAACACTAAGAAAGAAGTATTATATACTTTGTACAAAGTGAACCTTAAATGCCTCATTTAATGGGTCCTGGCTGAATATTTTTCCTTGTTCCACAAATGTTCAAAAACCTTTACAATAAAAGACTTTAATTATCTCATCCCCTGTAAACCTTCCTACCAAAGAATGTGCAGTTAAGCTTCAATAATATTTCTTTATAGCACCTCCAGAACAAGCAGAGATCCCCTTGGGGGTTTCTGGGAATTCTGAAATTGTTTAACTTTTTCTCTGCGTGCAGGTCAAACCATTTGACCAACAAAGCCACCAGCTGCTGGCAAGCCCTTTATTTCCCCCTTGATAATCACTAGAATGATACTGAGTTGTCTTTATTAATCTCCATTGTCATAAATGAAAAATGGGAATTTTGAATTTACTATGAGTGTAATGCCAAACTCAACATAGAACCTGAGAAAAACATTACCATGTATGCCCCAATTCCCAAGACATTTTTCTTCATATGTCAATTTTGGAAATTTTATGAATCCTTTCAGACCATTAGGAAACTGTTTGGGAAGATATTGTGTTAAGGGACCACTTAAATGAATTTCCTTTTGTCCGTGGATCACATATCCCAACATATAATCAAACATTTTAAGAATAGCAATAAAATAACATGAACTGAAATTTCCTATCTCTGAGATTTGTGATAATTTGCACAGAGACTAGACTAATACTTAGACATATCCTATCTATGGAAAAGTTTTGCTATTAGAAACTTCATAGAATAAACAAGATTGCAAATGAAGTGTTTAAGTGGTTTAAAACAACAAACTGACTTTAGGTGCATTAGAGTAGACGTATCAAACATACCAAGACCAGTACAGCCTGGATCAGTTTAAAATGTAACTGTGAAGTGCTTAACTAAATAAATAAAAGGACAATACAACAAAGATAATGTTAATTTGTGGTTGGTTATCTAAGTCAATATGAGGCCAGCAGGCATTCATTTCTATTTGTTTGACATCACTGCTCTAATAAGTAGGATTTGTCTGTTACTTATGTCAAAGTGGTAAAACCTCATTTCTTTGAAAATATCTTGAAGTTCAAATGAGGGATGGTCTGGTTGACTGGCTAAATGCCTAGTCTTAGTGGTCAAAAAAAAAAAACCTGAATAAAAGTTCTGATTCTGACTCTTTCTAGTTGTGGGGCTGTGGGCAAATCATTGAAATATCTCTGTGCCCTAGGCAACTGTCTAAGACTTAGTTACAGAATATTTACAAATTTACCTCAATAAGGGGTGTTTCCATTCTAGGGATTCCCTACATCAATGAATCTTTAGTCTGGATAATATCATCATCAACATCATCATCATGATATAGACTTTTTATTAATTGAGAATGACTTACCTTTCACATGAAAATCTCAAATAATACCCTTGGGAAAGGTGTCTTGGAATTATAAATGGAATAACTCTTCTCCAAATGGAAGGGAAAAAACATAAATTTATGGTAAGTTGAGAATTGACATTGTCTATTGTGTAAAATGAATTGAATGTACCAATGGTTGACTATTATAAGGTATTAAGGTGGAATATCAATATAATATATAGTTTTGATATATATTTACAAGAGTCTATTTTTTAAACCTTACCCTAATCTCCTGGAATTGAAACTGATCCCAAGAGGTAAGTTGGTTCTTTGATGAATCTTTAGCTAATGTCTCATGATCAGAACATCAGCTAATATTGAAGGTTCTTTGAACTCAAAGATGATAGGGATCTGACATTAGCAGATACAGTGAGTTTTAGAAGAAGTTATAATAAATCACTATTCCTATTGTGATCAACGGTGTGCATTAGTGAAATGGCTAACTGGGCCCAATCTTTAGTCAGAAAACAGAAGGACGGTACCTGTACACTGGCCTTGAAAGTGTAACTTCATTAGTACAAAGAAGCTATGCTATAAAGATAACTGAGTTAAGTGGCAAGTGACAAGTAAGGTAATGGACATTAATTGAGAAGCAATGAAGCATATCCTGTGTTAACATTCTTCATGGTGCCATTATAATAAGAATTTAGGGAAGAGATTGACAGGGAAGAGATTGGAAATTTGAATTTTATATTTAAGCTAGTAGTCCTAGTGGTCACTCCATCTATTCATCAATCAATTAACAAACATTTTGGGCAGCTAGGTGGCACAGTGGATAGAGCACTGGTCCTAGAGTCAGGAGGACCTGAGTTCAAATCCAGTCAATAATAAGTGTTATGTGACTCTGGGCAAGTCACTTAACACCAATTGCCTCACCAAAAAAAAAAATAGTAATAATAATAATAATGATAATTAAATAAAAAAATAAACTGGGGCAGCTAGGTGGCAAAGTGAATAGAGAACCAGCCCTGGAGTCAGAAGGACCTGAATTCAAATCTGGCCTCAGATACTTGATACATACTAGCTGTGTGACCCTGGGCAAGTCACTTAACCCCAATTGCCTCATGAAAAATAAAATAAACTGTCATTTTATCTATGAAAAAAACAATTAACAAACATTTTTAAGCACATACTCTGCACTAGGCATTGTGATAATTTAAGTAATATAAACACAAAAATAAGACAGTCCCTACTCTCAAGGAACTTATATTCTATAGTAGGAGACAAAATGTTTATGTATATTTGTTCATCTACTTGACACATAGTAAGCCCTTAATAAATGGTTCTTTATTAATGTATTATTATATGTTATATATAAGAAGTATATAGCATGAATGAAAAACTCATACACACGTATATGTATACATGAATAGGTTATCACCACCCACAAAATTATGGAAAACAATAGAAGCTTGTGATTGACTTAGAATTTATGAGCCAAAGAAACCTGCCTGATTACATTAAAGGGAGAGAGGGAATCAATTGTGAAAAGACCAACTACCTACATGCAATACCCTCACATTTATATGTAGCCATACATATTTATGTGTGTATATATTTGTATAATATCAACTTCTATTGCACAAGACAGATACAAAATAAGTACAAGCTAAACTAGGGTAAGATAAAAATAGTTGGGAGCAAAGGAAGGGCCCCATGTACAAGGTGACTTTAAGTGAGGAGAACTTGAACTAAGTTGACTGACGGTTCTATGAGAAAAAAAGATGATGAATGGAAAAATATTACGGAGGTAAAATTAACAAAATTTGGCAATTAATGGTGTGTGTGTGTGTGTGTGTGTGTGTGTGTGTGTGTGTGTGTGTGGGTGGGTGGGTGGGTGGGTGGGTGTGGGTGTGTATGAAAGACTATTATGATTCTAGGAGGACTCCTAGGTTGTGAACCTAGGTGACTAGAAGAATGGCCATGCCCTCAGAAGTCAGGAGACATTTGTTATTAATTCAACTCGACTAGCTTTCATTAATTATCTACTGTGTGCAAGGCACTTTCTTCGACTTGGATACAGAGTAGAAATAATGACACTGCCCAATGACCTTCATCTGACTATAATCTCATAATGGAGATATATCATGCACAAAAATAACTAATACAAATAAGAATATATTAAGTGTAGAGGTACACACAAACTGAGAAACAAAAGAGGGATCACCACCAGCTAAGATAATTTGAGAAGGACTTATGGAGGATGCTGCCTTTGAATCAGACCTTGAAGGAAAGGAAAGATTTCAAAAGACAGAGGTAAAAGATAAAGTATATTAAGGGCTGAATGGGGCAGCTAGGTGGTACAGGGGATAGAGTGCTGGGCCCACAGTCAGGAAGACCTGAATTAAAATCTGGCCTCAAACACTTACTAGCTATGTAACCCTGGGCAAGTCACTTATACCTGTTTGCCTCAGTTTCCTCATCTGTAAAATGAGCTGGAGAAGGGAATGGCAAACCACTCCAGGATCTTTACCAAGAAAACCCTAAGTGGGGTCACAAAGAGTTGGATATGACTAAAATGACTTAACAACAAAAACAGGGTCTCAATAGGTAGCCTGGAACGAGACTATAGAAGGCTTCAAATGCTATATCAAGGAGTTTATACCTTTTTTTTTTTTTAATGGATAATGGAGAACCACAAAAAGTTTTTGCAGGATAAAGATGTGATCATTCCAGTTCATTAAGAAGACTAATTTACCTTCTATATAATAGGTACATTGAAAAGGGGGGAGACTAGGGGGCAGCTAGGTGGAAAAGTGATGGAGCACTACTCTGTATCCAGGTCTAAGAAAGTCAGGAGGACCTGAGTTCAAATTCAACCTCAGACCAAACACTTGACACTTACTAGCTGTGTGACCCTGGGCAAGTGACTTAACCCCCCAATTGCCTAAAAATAAAAATAAAGGGGGGGAGACAAGAGACAACAGAGGTGGATTAAGAGTTTAATACAATGTCATAATGTGATATGACTTGGTAGATTCTCCTATTTCCCCACAAAAGGAATTGTTTTTCCCTAAAAGGCAAGAAAGGTATCTCTGGATTCTGATTTGTACTTTCTCCCCCTCTATACAGCTTTCTGGTGACCTTAGAATATGAAAAAGTCCTACTTATGGAATTAGGACCCCTTAAACTTGGTGGATGTCTGAAGACTACATGAGTCATACACTTAATCTGCTAATCAGACAAGTTTTCATATGAAGACAAAGGTTCTACAGATGTGTGCCACTGTGTCCTTCTTGTATATATCTTTGCCCTGTTAGGGCAAAATAAAGCTCCTTTCATTAACTGTTCAATAACTTCTGAATGTCTCATTTAAAACCTAAATCAAAACTACACTAAGTGTATGCTGGCATCAGGTTTACCCCTAACACATAGGTATTCATAATACCGCCTCAAGACAGGGAGTTTAATTAAGAGGCTTTTACAATAGTTCAAGTGATGAGGTTATGAACTTTTAAAATAAGTGTGAGTAGGACTGATTTGAAAGTATTAAGCTAAAACGTTCCATTCATTGAAACAGTTTCTGTATTGACCATTTGTTTATGCCAAAAATAGTGTCAAGGTTTGAGGATTAAATTCCTTCAGATTCCCCAAAGGAAGATTTAATTTTTACTTTACTTGATTCTCATAAAATCCTGGTACACTTTTAAATTTTAATTGGTTAGGTTGTGGGGTAGGAGGGAAACAAAATACAGAAGGCATTTAAAGACAAATATATTGCTGTTTGGGGATTTTGCCATTGGGCTACCATTGATGAGAAGGTAAACCACAGTCTATGGACAAGAGGATAGAACGCATAATCAGATTTGTGGAGGGGGTGGATAGAACATACAATTTGCCTATAATTGCCATTTATAGATTATCTCTAGCATTTCTTCCACCTGAATTACTGAAGAATAGAACTCAAGTATGAGCATTTGATAAAGACTTTATGAGGACTATACATCTTCATCAATCTGCCATGACAATAGTCAACAAAAAGATTTTTAATGGTTCCAGTATCTGGCAAGATGTCGTGGGTCAAGCTCTAACTGCAGACACAGCACTTGAAGCAACACCAGGGCTTCTCATAAAGTATTCTTACCATTCTTGCATTAATATCATGTCCATAGGGACTCTACATCAGCAAATTGGCTTTGAACATCGTAAAAGTCAGTAAGACAGAAAAGATATCTACATGAGGTCTCTGCTTTAGAGAAAACTAGAACAACTCCCGTGCTTCCATTTTTAAAAAGAATTTATTTGAGACATTAATAAATTGGGACTGCAGAAGGGGTATGCTAGTGTCAGCTTGAAAGGCTGGTGAAAGCTGATTGTTAAATTTCCATTATAAGAATTTAAACCTTGAAAACTGGCAAACATTACAAATCAGGGCTTGATTTACTGTTTCATTGGTTGTCTAGATTTAAGGTGTTGGAGAAAATGTTAATAATGCAAATTAAACTTAAAAGTGTGTTGTACACACATTTTTCTTAATTCTATTTCCTTCCATTTTATAACTATTCCCTATTTATCCTCAAAATAGCTTGTTTGTACCTATTTCTTTTCTTGCTTTCTCTCCCATTAGATCCTAAGTTCCTTGAAGGCAGGTACTATTTTTTGCCTCTTTTTTATATCCTCAGTGCTTAGCAGAGTGCCTGGCATGCAGTAGGCACTTAGTAAATCTTTATCGACTGACTGATACTCCAGAATAACAGGCATAATCTGATTGCTTAAATCTAGAAACTGTATGTAACAGACAAGCTCCTGGAGAGCAGGGGCTGTTATGACTGCTAAGTGGCGCCAGAGGGCAGAGAGCACCAGGACTGTCAGGAAGACCTGAGCTCTAGCCTCAAACACTTCCTAGTGGTGTGACCCTGGGCAAGTCACTTCACCTCTGTTTGCTTCAGTTTTCCCATCTATAAAAGGGGGATAAACACCTCTCTCTCAGGTTGTTGTGAGGATCAAATGGGAAAATAATTGTAAAGTGTTTTGTACGGTGCCTAGTACATAGTAGGTGCTTTATAAATGTTAACCATTATAATTATTTCATTTATATATTTGTTTCCCCAAAGCCTATCTCAGTGGTTGGCATA